AATTTTCCTAAAATATTCGTGCCCGAAAGAAAATTTCCAGGAATAATTTAAGCTTGCGTGGTATTCGGTAAGAAAATTTCACACCTAAATTTGAAAAAAAAAAAATTAATCCAACATGACATTTTAAAATAATTTCAATTTGTTAATAATATTAACAAATATTATTATATTTTTAATTAGTTACATCAAATGCTAAAACTCAAATGGGTAATATTTCAATATATAGACATTGTAGTTCATTCACATTATGATTGTAGATCTTATGTTTACCTTTTCAACTGTCAAAAAATTTCCACTAAAGTTTCGTGGCGCCTCGAAAAAATTTCCGGAAATTTTTTCAGTTGCCATGGTAACTAGTCAACATTAAAGCATGTTATTGGTTGAAAAGTCGAGGTGTGAAATTTTCACTAAAATTTATCCGTTGCCATGGTAATTTGACAAAAAATACGTTTTGATTGGTTAAAAATTACGGGTGTGGAATTTTCACTAGTAATACCACTAGAGGTCAAATTTAAAAAATGTCCGGATTTAATTTGCCCTCCTGTGGTATTCGGTAAGAAAATTCCACACCAAATTGTGTTTGAAAATCAAATAATTAAAATGTATTTTTCGATTTTTGGTCGAATTGATTATTTAGTTACTATGATAACTAAGTGACACCCAAACCTACAAATCATTTCAGTTTTGAAGCTGCCAAGCGGCACGGCTTAAAAAAAATTCCCTTCGTAGTACGGAAGCGTTGTGTGTCCCGTGGAAAAGTTAATGAAGGGAAGGTACTAGTGGGGTACTAGTCGATAGATAAAAACATGTAGTCCAATAATGTCGATGGTGACATTTTTACAGATGTTGCGTGTGGCTATGATGACGTCATCCAAGATGGTCGTCACTTCATTATAAACCAAGTGGCATATCTCGGTCCCTGCTGAACCGATCGCAATTTATCTTATTTTGATCGAAAGATATTAGTACTAGCTGAAAAAAATATTTATAACATGCATTGCGAAAAAATTATAGATTCGATGATATTCCATCTTAAACTAAAAACAGATTATTTTATGCTATCAGTGTCAGTTATTAGAATATATTTTGAGTATGTAAGACTTTTCAATTTCATTTCTTTTATTATATTATAGAGACGGAACAATGCATCAGTGCCCAGCTAAAAGTAAATTAATTCAAATCTTGAAGTCTGTAGTGGAATCCACTGCCAAAGATTCTTTGTTATCTGCTTAAGTTCACCAATCAAATAACTGCGTTGCAATTGTAGATGCAATGGGAGAATTGCAGCCTCTGGATAAAACTAGCGCAGTGAAAACTTGTAAAGATCTTGCAGATTTGTTCGCCCAAAAGATCCAAAGGAAATACTGGCAATATGATGAACTTCATGTTATTTTCGACATGTACTTGGACGAATCAATAAAAACGTTACTAGGGATAAGAGGCTTCATGACGGTGTCGCAACACAGTACAAAATATGTGACACAACTGACATAAAATATAAATTTGAAAAAGTTGTTGTCACATACTCGTACTAAGGATGAATTAACCACCTATATTGCACATACAATTCTAAGTCATGCCAAGATGTCAGCAAAAAAATATGTCGTTTCATGGCGCACTGAAGTTTCTGCGACGCACTGTTCTTTGGATTGTTTAAAGAGTACCCAAGAAGAAGTCGACACAAAAATTATATTTCATGCTATTAATGCGAAAGTTAGAGGTGCAGATACACTACTGGTATTTGCTAATGATACAGATATTTTAGTTTTGCTAGTGTGGCGCTACGCAAGGCTTCCCGAAAACAAAGGTACAAAACCTGTTTTGTTACCATCGTCAGACGAGGCAATATCAGTTAAAAACATATATACTTCACTCGGACCACTAAAATCTTCAGCACTGCCCGGGTTCCATGCAATATCTGGTTGTGACAACACCGAAAGTTTGTTTGGAAAAGGAAAGTTGTCATACTGGAAGGCATTTGTTTCAGCGAGTGAAGAAGAGCTTGAAGCCTTGCAGAAACTTGGTACCAGTGATTTAGTACCCGATGATGTTTTGCATCAGCTAGAAATATTTATATGTCGAGTTTATAAAGCAAGCACTCTAACAAAATCACTTGCAGAATTACGATGGTCAATGTTTACTGTCAAACAAGCCCTTGGAGATAAGTTACCCCCCATTCCCACTAGAGGTTCCCTTGTACCCGCAATTAAGAGAGATTTTTACCTTCAAGTCTTTGTGTGGTCAAAAGATGATAAACCAAATGCAGTCATCCCTAATGCAGTTGGACACGGCTAGTATTTGGAAGAGAGAGTGCTTACCCCTGTTATGTGTGAAGAACCTTCTTTATGTGTGAAGAGTCTCTTCTTCAACTGATTAGATGTTCGTGTCTTAAAAATCGATGTTCACCACCATGTAAATGTTTAGCAAACAATATGCCTTGCACAGAAACGTGTAGTTGTAATGCTTACCAATCAACTTGTGATAATTTGTATCCGCCTGATTTTGCCGACGAAGGTAGTGATGAAGTTGGTAGTGATGATGCCGATTTGTAATTTTATTAATATATACTATGTGCAAATGTATCACTTTATTTATTTTAAATACATGAACTCATATAACGTAGACCATATTTTATTTTGGTAAAAATAATATAACACAATATTTTTCAATTTTTTCACTTTAAATCCAACCAGCAACCAAAATATTATTTTTTCGCAATAATTTCAAGAATTAGTTGTTTTCCTTTCAAAAGCTAAACAAAATTGAAATCGGTTAAATAGCGGCGATGATAGCGCACATTGTCTATATTGCTATGGCGGCCATTTTGTTTAACGCACTCCAAACAAACGCAACCTCTGTGACGGTGTCACCATAAAAATTAATGGAATACATAATTTTTCTGATAAAACAACTCCACTGGCACCTTCCCTTCATGAAGTTTCCCACGGGAAGCTATTTTTATACTTTGTGTTCCCCAACTATCGGTCATGAAAGCAAAGAAAATATTCGCCATTAGATTAAGCAGTTGACACCCGCGAATACTAGGAAATCGAAGTCAAGCGTATGGAAGCAGTTTACAAACTTTCATCTCAGCTTTGTAATTGAAATGTATCAAAATTATCATGTAAACAAATAAAAACCAGACTCTCAAAAAGATATTCTGTCATTATAAACCTCAAAAAATTTCCAGTATAATTCGCTGTTGGGTGCCCACAAGGAAAAGATTTTCACTAAAATTTATCCGTTGCCATGGTGATTTGTCAAAAAAACACGGTTTGATTGGTTAAAAATTACAGGTGTGGAATTTTCATAATAATCTGGGTCCTCTTCAACAGACCTATGAAATAGGGTTTATTGTTTTTGTAATGTCACTGTCATGGAAAAATCATATTATTGATTGGCAGTTACGTAGGAGAGATGGTTTTAATAGATGTTGTTCTCTACCATGTTCAATTAAAGCAACAATAATGTTACAACATTTTACTCGAACAAATATATGCCGAACATAAAAAAACATTTAAGATTTTAATTGCTGCAATAAAATTTTAAGTGTTAACAAATTAAATTTAATAAGTTCTTATTTTTTAACAAAATAATAGTATGGGGGTTTTAGACGATGAATCTCTAGGGCGTTAAACTCAATGATTGCACAAAAATACAGTAAAAGGGGTTTATTTGGCGTAAATCGAGAACAAAATACAAAACAGCTGTTTACGCCAGGCGCACGCGGAACAAGTGAATGATCGGCGGATGACAGGCTTCAGCGAGCATTGTGCGTCGACGGTGGCGCCCTCCCACCGATCGTCGCTGGTCACTTGCCGAACTACGTCCAATACTCGCGATCCCTATTATGCGAGCGACCAGGAGCGCGAGTGTTAACTGGTGATGCTAACAGGGGGTACCTATTATTTTTGTAAATTATGATTATTAATATCATGTTAATAAAAATATCAATCTGTATTTTATGTGCTAATATATAATTTTATATACTTATTTTTGCTCATTATTTCACTACGTTGACCATGCTCATTCGACTAGGAAAGTGCATTATTTTAAAATTCCTCAACACCGAACAGCTAACTTCCAAAAATCTTTCAGTGCCATTGCACATTTGTGGAATAATATTTCCAATAAAACAAATAAAAAATCATTTACTAAATTCGCAAAAATTATAATTTCTTTGATTGACTTTTTTTAATCTAATTTCTGTTTATTTTTATAATTTAATTTATTCTGATAATTGAATTTACTTCTTTTTTGTTTTTGGAGTCGCACCACTCTGGCACTTTGTGTCTTTGTATCGGTTTTTTAATCGCGGTGTGAACCCTTTAGACTCACATTTATTAATAATAATATGTATTAATCTGTAAATCTAATTGAATTTGAATTTACTTCTATAATAATTGGCCCCTCTATTATTAATTATTTTTGATTAGTTTTTAAAGGTCTACTTTTAATTAAAACACCTGATATTTACACTTTTTTAATAGAGGCATTACTTTTAGTATGTGAGTTATCTAGACAATAACTGATATTTAAGATAATTACTATGTTCTCAAATAATTATGGGAAGGTGATTTTTAGTTTGTTTTGGGTTTCTTTCATAACATACCTATTATTTCATAGAAGAAGGCATATAGGGGTTGATGATTGATCATATGATTAATGAACCTCACATGATCATTTTAAATAAATAATAAAACAAGTATAATATTTTGAAGTCAGATGAATTAGCTTGGGCCTCTTAATATCTGCACTGCCTTTATCAGCGTTATCTAGACGAACAACTTAGGAATTCCAATTCTATCCAAGTGACTTGGGAAATACTTTATACACATTTTAAAAGAAATTTAATAAAACTCGACAAATTTATTATATTGACACACCTCATACTTATTTTATTTTATAAGTTATATAAATATAAAAACAAAACCTGTATTTGTAGTACAAGAAACAAGAAATAATAAATAAATAAATTAAATTATAATTAATATCACAAATCATTGAGGAGTGTATCCCTCTTGTAAACCCAAAGGTAACGGAGCATTGTCAAAACTTCTTTTATGGCCATAACTGCCACCATCCCATCCATCATGAGATGCTGAGTGTGAATGTGAGGAAGTGTAAACAGGCTTGGCAATTACTTCATACGAACTTCCACCTCCACCACCTCCTTTGGCTAGAGCAATACCAGCTAGTACTAAAGCAACCAGACCAGCTAGCAGAGCTTTACCAGCAACAGCTGCCAATCCAGCCACAGCAATGCTCAATGCACCGGATTTCATCAATGCTGCCAATCCAAGAAGTTTTCCTAGTCCTTCACCTCCACCACCTTCGTTCTTCTTACGAGCACTGACAGATGAATCAGCATGAGCAGCGTTCCAAAAGTTGAGTTTGACAGCGTGGTTGTCGAAGAACCCAGATATTTTCTTGAGAAGAAAAGCGTCTACTCGGGCATTAGGGTCGTCAGGAAATTCACGAGCCAACTCCTTGGTAATTTCATGCTCGTTTTGCTTCACACTTTTACCCTCACGCACTATACTAACACCAGGTATCAAGTCGATGTTGTCGTTGTCACTTAACTTATCCACCCATGAGGCTGCGTTCAGTTTAAAGCACGATAAAGAATAAGAGTCTTCGCAATTCTTTCCTAAAGATTTTTGAAACTCTGACGCATTTGATACACTGCAGAAATGTACTAAAACAGTAAGAAAAATAGAGATTTTTAATGGCACTGAACGCATTTTGTTGCTGTGATGTACAAACTGCTTCTGATTCGTTGTCAAATTTTTAAGCAGGTTATATAGTGGTCCGGATTGTTAGAAAAAATTTGGCTCCGAGGACCGGAATGATTAAAGAAGTAGAGCAAACACGACTATACAATAGTGAGAGTAAAATGACAGGGCTATTAAATGCTACTTGACGCGATATTTTTTTTAACTGCTTCTAGTTTTGGCTGAGAGAAAGGGAAAAAGAAATTATGTATGTGTATCATTTTTTCTATTCAATATTCTAATTCTCACACTGTAGCTAATATGTGAGTATGTTTTTATAATTGGTAATTACAGAACGCTGCAACCTGCTTTGGGCTAATTATTTTAAGTCATCTGGTAGGCCCGGTGTGAATTTATTTGATGTCTAAACTAGTTTTGGTAAATTTCTCCTTTATTGCTTTGTTTTAGAATTTTTGAGAAAGGATTTTAATAAAATTTTCCGTATAACACAGGGTTTATTTGATTTGATTTATTATTGTTATTTGTATAATGTTTTGTATTATTTTATCTTTTGTTTGTTTGTTTGTGTACCTTGTTTGTTTACTTTGTTTGTTTAGTTTACTTTTGTCTACAAATTGTAAAAATTTTTTGACAATAAAGGCATTTATTTATTTCTACAATAATTAAATTTTAAAAATAGTATTATTGTTTAATTACGAATAAAAATTATACTTTTTATGGCGAGGCTTTATGTTGACATTACATGAAAGACACAAAAATTCATTTTTACTCCGAATGGAACATGCTATTTTTTTTCAAACGTCACTAATAATTTTTTAAACCATTTGAAACTTTGCGAATAACAAAAAAAAATAAAAGTTATACCTTGTGAGTAATTATATTTTAAGAAACTATGGCTACACTCGTTGTACTTGACACTTGTCAATATCATAATATTATTTTGGTACTACTGTACTACAGGTATAAAGTACTTTGGTGTTTTACCTAGGAGTTAAAATTACTTTTTTATATTTTCAATGACGCGACGTCGCAAAAATTAATACATTTGTTGCGTTTTGAAAAAAAAAATATTTTGTTAATAATTTTAAGAATTGAATAATAATATTAAATAATGTGAGTAAAAATAAATGCATCATTGAAGCATACTAATTGGGAAATTTTCTCTATTGAAATATACCGGGTGGTGCATCGCATTTTAAACTGTCCAGATATTGGTTCCTCTATTGATTTTACAGCAAAGTCGTAAATATATTTTTTAAAGGTTTATGTTTGGTAAATACATATGCCAAATTTGAAGAATTTTAGGGAATCCGATTTTGAGTAATTTAAGAAAGATTGATTATTACCTGTCCAGTTTTAATTTAAAAATAGTTGCAGTTTTTCTCAAATTACTCAAAATCGGATCGTCCAAAATTGTTCAAGTTTGCCATGGGTGTTTACCAAACGTAGATCTTTAAAAATTCCTTTACGACTTTGCTATAAAATCAATAGGGGAGCCAATATTTAAACAGTTCAAAATTTGCACCCGGTATATAAGATATTGCCATTTTCCTACAAAATTATTTTTATATACTGAGTGAGCCAAAATCACAATATTATTGACTTTTCTCAAAGTAATTCACAATATAAGCTAGCATGTGATGTCCATTTTTTTTAAATTGATATATTATTTTTCTTTACAGCATTGACTCCACTACACTTGAAGAAGTTTTTAGTCATGGAGATATGGGTATTCTATTTGACCTTACTCCGTCATTTTATATCGAATACATAACGTCGATATTTGACATATAGAAGCTTTAGAAAATGTAAGTAATAAAAGCTGATAACACATACAACTGCTAACACATACGCTGCCTCTACACCAACAGGGTGATAGTCTGACAGCAGGTTTCCTAAACCCCTAAAAAAATAAATTTTCAACTGCGATTGAACTTATAGTAGGTATCACACCCTTTGCGTGGTAAACGTGCTTGTGCAAATTAAGTTTTGGTCCAAGAAGCAAATAATTTTGTAGGCAAACGCCAAACCAAAAATTTATATAAAATCAGCACTTTATTCTTAAAAAATTAATCACCTTCAGAATGGTTTTTGGATTTATACAGGGTGAGTTTTCTACGATGTTCTCTATCTCGGTATCTCGGAAACTACTGAAGATAGAGAGTCGGTTAAATGGGGAAAGAATTGCAGTTTTGTGGGGTCATAAATATGCGCCTTTCAGATTTTCGAAAAAGTTCATGGCTTTAGTAAGCTATTTCGAAATATCTAGTGATATTTCGAAAAAAAAACAAATTCCGGCTATTTTAAAAATTGTCCCACTTTTTAAAGCCATTAAAATCTATTTTAGAAAAAAAAGTTTCAGACTAAAGTTGTGGAAAATCACATCCTTAATGAGATTGTATCCTCAGTTTTTTTTTCTAAAGCCTATCATTTTTGACATACGACACGAACATATGTTTTTTTAAAGGGAAACCATAGTTGGCCATGACTTCATAAAAAGCGCCATTATTTAAGCTTTTCAGCGATATAAGCTATATGTTTTTTTCGAAAAATTACTGCGTTATCATTTTAAGCAATTTTACTTAAGGCTCATTTACATTTGTCATTTTGGATGTTCAACTTGGATGAATCATCCAAAGTGATAAGTATAAATTGCCTTTCATCACTGTTTCATCCAAAGTGTACACTAAAATTGAACGATGAAACAAGTTGACGGTCTTCCTACTTTTGTTGAAAGACGCGCTCAACGAACGTTGATTCATCCAGATTGAACGGCAAGTGAAAAATGTAAACAACCGACGCCGACCCGTACGGCCAACCTCGATATAGAAAACACTGGAAGAGGTGGCAGCCTGCGGAAGACGAAACATTGAACTGCTGCGAACTGGATGAAAATATGTAAACAAGGATGTTCAATTTGGATGAATTCAATCTGAGTGATTCATTTTGGTTGTACATCCAAAATAACACAGCGTAAACTCTGATTTAGTTAGCCATGAAAACAAGTTCAATCGTCGCACATACGGGTATTTCGATTATTTAGGCGGCTAAAAGTATATTTAGTTTAAACACAAACAAAAAAGTGGTTTTATTCGATTTTTTGTGTTGTTTTGCTTTTTGTAGTACACTATAGCAAGGATACAATTTTTTATTTGTGTTTCTAATAATTTCGTATTGCGGCCTAGTCAGATCAGCCTCAACAAACATTGAAAGTGCGCAAATAGGTGCCAGTTTATTGTCTTTTTCATCCTGTAAAGTTTTAGTGTATGCAGTTTTATATTTTTTTGCACAATTGGGTGAAATGACCATCTCTTTAAGCATCTGCGAGGCACTTCTTTTTCTCAAGGTTTGAAGTGTATTTGTGCTGCCTGAAGCAATATTTCCTTACTTGTTGTACTTCGTAGTGTACTTCGTGTTCTTCAGTTCGTCTTCGGTGACTTCTTTCGCTTAATTCAGCAAATTCCTTTGGTAGACGCCCTGAACGGTGTGCTACCAAAGGTTGTTCAAATGTTCCATCTAACCAGGCATAGTTTTTTTAAGGAAGTTATCAAGATTTGGTTGGGCATTAGACCATCTTTGCTTAAATTGTGACTTGATATACGACAATCTGTGCTTTAAATCCTTTATTTGGTCTTCAGAATAATTTTGGTATGCCAAAATATTATTTTCAAGATACTCTAATTTATCGTCAAAAGTAGGCAAATCTTGCTCTTGCATTTTATCAAACAAGTACCTCCGACTTACTACTCGAGCATTTGACGACCCTGATACAAAATTAGACACTCTTCGAATCGAAATTGTTCTAGAATTACTAATGTTGCATTTTACACAAAGAAATTTAAAACCTGCATAACACAATATTGCGCAGCTATTAACAGCTAAACTAGTGATAATCATTTTCTATATACTCTCAAATTGACACTGAACTTTATTAAATATGTGGGATGAACCCTGAAGTATAACAAAAACCTTTAGCTATGTGAAAGAATTATTTAAAATGAAAGCAAAAGTAATGCAATGATTTTGCACACTGCTAAAGGTGATTAAGAATACTGAAAAACTTTTAAATATTAAATATGTAACCACTTACCAGCAATATCAGGATCCATTATTTAGTTTTTCATATATATCTTGGATAATTAATATACACACTGGTCAAACTAAACGTTGACATGTAAAAGAGGATCAAAGGTGACTTGATATTACTGATCCATTATCATGTTGGCCGTTGAATACAGGGTTGCCTATTATTCTGCCGCTATTCAACTTCCGCCAGGTCTACTCTATTTCCATCTGCAATGAGTTCTACGAAATTGACTTTTGGCCGCTTAAATAATCAAAATACCCGCATGTGCGTCGTTGCTCTCTGAAATGTGACACTGTCACATCCAAACTTTGTAAATTAAAATAAACAAAAATTGTAAATATAAATTTTTTAAATGAAAAAAAGCGTGTAGGATTGTTGGTTCAACTTTTCTTGGGCATACATTTTCAAGGATACGTGGTTGGTGAACGTTACTTACGTTTTTTAGAGAACGGTTTTCAAGACATGTTAGAAAAGTTAAATTTAGACACTCGTGCATCAATAGAGTGGTTCCAACATGACTTTCATTATGACACCCCCCTCCATATTGAAAGAAATGCTCGAAGAAATGTTAAAAAGTATTCATATCATAACTATGCAAATTGAGTGTATAGGAAGAGGTGGACCAATTGCATGGGCCTCCTCGATCACCTGACCCATCCATTTTAGATTTTTTATGCGGTATGGTTAACAACAATGTTTACAAAACAACTTAATTAAGAGAGGCTCTCAACGAGGGAAAAGAGATTTTTTAAACATTTTCTCAAATAACTTAAAGTAAAGGTAGTGATATTATTTTTTTGAGTTTTAGTTTGTGTAATGTAAATTGTAAAGAACCGTTTAATAATATATTCTATCTTTTTAAGTTGTAAATCATAACAGAATAAGAATACCAAACCAAATAAGTGAAATTAGTCAAGAAAGATAAGATATGGCTATAACTCAGTAATTTTTCGAAAAAAAGATTATAGCTTATGTCGCCGAAAAGCTTAAAAATGGCGCTTTTTATGAAGTCATGCCCAACTATCGTTTCCATTCAAAAAACCAATGTTTGTGTCATATGTCAAAAATGACAGGCTTTGAAAAAAATCGGCGAACAAAAAATCATTAGGGATGTGATTGTCTACAACTTTTATCTGAAAACTTTTTATCTAAAATAGATTATAATGGAATCAGGGACAATTTTTAAAATAGTTAAAATTTGTTTTTTTTTCGAAATAACTAATAAACCATGAACTTTTTCAAAAATCTGAAAGGCGCATATTTATGACCTCACAAAGCGGCAATCCTTCCCAATTTAACCGATTCTCTATCTCCAGTAGTTTCCAAGAACCCATAGAGAACATTGTAGAAAACTCACCCTGTATATTTATACCCTCGATATTTATAAATACTGATCTAAATTACATTTTCTAATGTCTGTTGTAGTAAAGCGTAAGTAACATTAATTTGATAAAATCTTAGTACGTTACGCTATAATATACGTTTAATGTTTAAAAAATATGTAATAAATGGTAATAAAAACGGCATCAAAGACGGCTAATATAATATCTCTAGACGTCATTTACTAAAAACTGATATAAAACTTGTCAAAAGTTATCACTCATTATAGAAAGATTAAAAAACGATAGAGCGTTTCCAGGCACCCAAATCAAAACTTATATTTTGTCGATATTAAACTACACCATTTAAAAATAATTTTTAATTAATATAAATATATACTAGAACCTTTTTACGGCCAATTGGCAGTATGCGCGATTAAAAATTAAAAAAGAGAGTACGGGATAAGTAAATCACGTCTAGGGCTGGACCTCGCCAAAATTATCATAGACTGTAACTTCCCAGCCGTCCATGATGGCGTTTTTTTCGATAGTATGGTATTAACGCTTTAAATAAATTGATCTAGAAATCTAATACACAAACGTTTTTTTATTCAACTATGTTATAAAATAAACTTTATTTGTTCATTGTTATTGGTCATTGATTGGTGATGGTCATTTAAAAGATATTATTATCTTTAAAGTTATATGAAGGATAGGTATCTTAATAAAATGTGTTAGTCAAAACTTATTTACAGATATTTGATAGAAAATTATTTACAAATATATCAATTGTGAACTAATACCTAAAATATTTCATTTAACGCAAATTTTACAATAAAATAACATACAATGTTTCTGTTTAGATTGTAATACACTAAAAATAAAAAAAAATATATCTCTTATTGCAAACTTAATCAAAATATCAAAGTTAAATTAAACCAAGACACATATTTTAACTGACAACTTAACTTATTACATAACATTACAAATAAATAAATAAATAACAATAAATAAATTAACTAAAATGCTCAGAATAGCATTTTACTTAGGAATATAATTTTGAGCTAATCCTAAAGGTAACGGCGCTTGATCCAGACTCCTCTTATGTCCATAGTTTCCACCATCCCATCCACCTTCATGAGCCACAGAATGCGAATGTGAAGCAGAATAAACAGGTTTAGCAATCACTTCATAAGTTGAATGCCCTCCTCCACTTGATAATCCTTTCAGTGCAGTGATAGCTGATAAAAGTAACGCGATCAAACCAGTCATTAGGGCTTTTCCAGCTAAGGCGGCCAAACCTCCCATTGCTATCGCCATCAGAGTTCCTTTCATCATGGCACCCATAGCCAACATCATTCCCATACCTCCATCTCCTTTTTTATCCTTCTTCCTTGCTGTAACAACTGAATCATTTTCAGCAGCGTTATTCCAGAAATTCAACTTGATAGCGTGATTGGTGAAGAAACTGGACACTTTTTTAAGCAGAAAAGCATCGATACGCGCATTTGGATCATCGGGAAACTGCCGAGCTAATTCTGCAGTTATATCACCGGTTTTTTCTGTCACACTATTCTGTTCTCGCACTATCGAAACACCAGGAAACACATCGAGACTGTCTGTATCACTAACTCTGTCCATCCAGGCTGCTACGTTCATTTTTAAACAAGTGAAAGATGAAGAAGAATCGTCGCAGATTTTACCGAACGATTTTTTAAATTCACTTTTATCTATCGAGTTTGTTTTAATGTCACCCGAAAATGCTGGAACCACAAAGGCACCGATTGTAATTATGGTTAGGAGGAAGTGGTTCATGATGATAGTTTGCCGACTGAAATGACTCTGATTACGTGAGAAAAATGGCCGCGGAATATATAGCAGAGTAGAGTACGTCAATTAGTAAAAATCTAGTTATGCGAGGCATAACAAGTGGAACAGAGGGGTATATAATTGTAAACGGCCGGTGACAGGAATATTTCATCGGAACAATTTCGTAAAAAGCGGGTTTGTGTTAGGAATGGTCGAAAATTTGATATGTCGATATTTAGATTAATATTTTCAAATGAGAATCGTTACCTTCAAATAGCTGTTAAACATTGAAATTCTCTTTATTGAAAATAATATTGTTATAGTATTAGAATAAATATTTCACATATAAAATGTAAATAAATTATTATACAAAGTGGTGCGTTTTTACAGGGTGAGTTTCCTACGATGTTCGCTATGGGTATCTCGGAAATTACTGGAGATAGAGAGTCGGTTAAATAGTGAAAGAATTGCAGTTTTGTGGAGTCATAAATATGTGCCTTTTAGATTTTTGAAGAAGTTCATGGCTTACTAGATATTTTGAAAAAAACAAATTTCGGCTATTTTAAAAATTGTCCCTAATTCCATTATAAGCTATTTTAGACAAAAAGTTTCCAGATAAAAGTTGTAGATAATCACATTCTTTATGAGACTGTGTCCTCCCCTTTTTTCTACAGCCTGTCATTTTTGACATATGACACAAACATAGGTTTTCTTTAAATGGAAACCATAGTTGGCCGTGGCTTCACAAAAAGCGCCATTTTTTAAGCTTTTCAGCGATATAAGCTATAATATGTTTTCTTCGAAAAATTACTGAGTTATAGCCAATTCTTATCATTTTTAAACAATTTCACTTAGGTAGCCATGGAAACAAGTTGAATCGCCATTGCTCTCAGAAATGTGAAGCTGTCACATCCAAACTTAAAATAAATAAAAATTGTAAATATGAATTTTTCAAATGAAGAAAAGCGTGTAGCATTATTGGTTCAACTTTTCTTGACCATACATTTTCGAGGATACGTTGACCGGTGAATGTTACGTTTTTTAGTGAACGGTTTTCAAGACATGTTAGAAAAGTTAAATTTAGTTATAGCCAATTCTTATCTTTCTTGACTAATTTCACTTAGATTGCCTGTTATTCTTATTCTGTTATGATTTATAACTTATAAAAAGTCAGAATATATTACTAAACGGTTCTTTTCAATTTACATTACACAAACTAAAACTTAAAAAAATAATATCACTACATACACTTTAACTTATTTTAAAAAATGTTCAAAAAATCCGCCATTGTTTTGAGTTGCATGTTTTTAAAACTGAATTACTACCTATTCTGTATATTATTACTACCTAGTTTGTATAATTATGATATAAATAATTTTTAACATTTCTCTTATTATGGGGGGTGGGGGGTGATGTGTCATAATGAAAGTCATGTTGGAACCACTCTATTGATGCGCGAATATTTACACGATTTTCTTCATTTTAAAAATTCATATTTACAATTTTTGTTTATTTTAATTTACAAAGTTTGGATGTGACAGCTTCACATTTCTGAGAGCAATGGCGATTGAACTTGTTTCCATGACTACCTAAGTGAAATTATTTAAAATTATAAGAATTGGCTATAACTCAGTCATTTTTCGAAGACAAGATATTATAGCTTATATCACTATAAAGCTTAAAAAATGGCGCTTTTTATGAAGTCATGGCCAACTATGGTTTTCATTTAAAAAAACCTATGTTTATGTCATATGTCAAAAGTGACAGGCTTTAGAAAAAAACGGAGAACACAGTCTCATTAAGGATGTGATTATCTACAACTTTTATCTGAAAACTTTTTGTCTTAAATAGCTTATAATGGAATTAGGGACAATTTTTAAAATAGCCGAAATTTGTTTTTTTTTTCAAAATATCTAGTAAGCCATGAACTTTTTTAAAAATCTGAAAGGCGCATATTTATGACCACACAAAACTGCAATTCTTTCCCCATTTAACTGACTCTCTATCTCCAGTAGTTTCCGAGAGACCCATAGAGAACATCGTACGAAACTCACCCTGTATATACAGGGTGGTCCGAATTGTATTCCGGACAATTTGGCAGCATATTCTGCACATAAAAATAAGTAAAAAAGTTCGTATAAATATATGTTCTAAAATGCTTAGTCTTGGAGATACAAGGTGTAGAAATTTTATTTTTATTTCGATTTTTTTCAAATAATTTCTGAAGCAACGTCAATATTTGGATAAAAATTGGTGTCTGGGAGTTTTTTGACATGGGAAATTTGATTTTGATATCAATATGACTCCAACTTGTAGAAAGCACCAACTGCATATTTTTTAATTGGTTTGAAAAGTAAAAGTTTTCGTCCGAACCTGTATAAAACTACTGAGTAAAAAAATATACATTTACGACATTTTTTACGTAAAAAAAGATCTTTTGGTAAAAATTGCCACGAGTAATGGTTCTCGAGATATTTGATATCGAAATTATCAGTACCTGTCATCATTGACATAAATTAAATATATTGACTAAATTGCTATTAGACTGAAATCATAAATAATTTGAAATGATTTTGTGTCAAAAGTTCAACAGAAACTATTTTATCATAATTTAAAAAAATATGATTAATTTAAAGCATTAAAAAGTTCCCAAATTTATCATTTCAGTCAAATAACTGTCTACTCAACATGCTTATTTTTTGTTAATAATGACGTGTATTGACTACTTCTATTCCTGATATCTTGAGAACGGTTGCTCGTAGCGATCTTTATCAAGAGACTTTTTTTTACGTAAAAAATCACGGTAATGTATATTTTTTTACTCGGTAGTTTTATACAAGTACGGAAGAAAAGTTATCACTCTTCAAAACAGTTAAAACAAATGAAGGTGGCGCCCTCTACAAATAGGAGTCATATTGATATCAAAATCAAATTTCTCATGTCAAAAATCTCCCAGATACCAATTTTCATCCAAATATTGACGTTACTTCAGAAATTATTTGGAAAAAATCGAAATAAAAATAAAACTTCTACACCCTGTATCTCCAAGACTAAGCATTTTACGACATACATTTATACGATCTTTTTTACATACTTTTATCTGCAGAATATGCTGCCGAAGTTTTCGGAATACAGTTCGGACCACCCTGTATATTATTTTAAATTAAATAAAATAAAACAACTCCTTAAGTTCATTTATTTTCTTTTATTTTGGACATGGTTTGATTATTTTTATTTGCTGCCGGTAGATGTGATCTTTTTGTTATTGGTATGTATTTCTGATTTTTTTATGTCTGAAATATTAAATTTCGGAAAAAGAAAAAATGGAATGTTACATATATGGAACAGAAATGTTAAGTATCGTTCCTTCCTGTCAATGCAACCCAATATCTTGCATTTCATCAGCAAGAGTAGTTTAGATGGCTCTATTTTTTACAAAATGTACGATACTTCTGCTACTGTACTACAAAGAAAATACTAAATACTGCATCTAACTGTCTACCGTCCAAGAAAAATGCCTTTTATTAATTTGCCTTTGAATTTTGTTGTTAAAAATATCCAAATTGTGCGGTTGAAAAGGGTACGTTTATGTTGGAGCTGCGATAAACGATAAAAGCAGTGAATTAGCGCTGCTCTTATCGTTGCTCAACTGCCAACCGTGTCTCGACTCGTTGCTCCAATATAAACACCTACATATAATTTAATATAATAATATTCTTTGGTTCGCTACTATCGCTGCTCTTATCGTTTATCGCCGCTCCAACATAAACGCACCCTAAGAGACGAACGGTTGATTTGATACGCATCCGAATGAGAGTTCTACTGTAGTTATGTATATGTCGCACCCACTTAGTGTAATTGTCCGTTTCATAGATTTAGTAAGAACAGATATCACATTAGACATTTTAACCCCATCAAACAATCGGAGGTTGACTACGTATTGTAAAAACCAACTGAGATGGAGAAGGCGACATTGCCACATTTTAAATTTGCGCCTATTTACTTAGTTTAATTTGCAGAAAAGGTGACTTTAAAACCTTTACCGGAAATCAAAAAATCTCAATTTCTTAATTAAATTAATAATTTATTTTTAAAGAAGCATGCGTAATAATATGTTATTAATCAGAGGATATATGCGTTACTATTAAAGGATATGTTTACTGTTTAATGTGCTGAAACGTCTAGAACTATTGGCAACGTCGCTGCTAGTCTTCCAGAATGAAATGAGCCGTCCGTCTCCCACCACCCCTCGCGACGGTCATTGGTCCGTTATAGCGTACTACGTTTAGCTTACGGTGTGTTTGAAGTCGGAATCAAGTCCGAAGTGAACTTTTCAGTGTTTTTCAGTAGTTTTTGCTTTTGTTTAACGTAGTTTTAAATCTGCGAATTTTCAATATGGTACGACAGTGTCAAATGTGTGGAAAAATAAGCTCAAATTACCCGAATTTGTCTCTTCACAGGTAGGTATTGTTTACGCCGCGCCGTAATCGCCGTACATAGGCGTCCCACAAGGGAGCCTCTCACAATTAAAATAATTTCTAAATATATTTGTTGAATTTTGAGCTATTAAAACAAGAAAGTAGTAGCCGGTAATTGAATTATAATTCGTCTCAATTACTACTTAACTGTTGTAGATCATAACAAATTTGTATATAAACGTTGCATTTGAAACTTTATTATAAGCCAGAAAGTGACATTTTTTTTTCTTAAAATCATATTTTGGTCATTATATACGATATTCTAAAAAAATTTTGCTCAACAAATAAACAAAGGTGTTTACCCACCCTTTTTTTAAATTTTATTGCATTATTATATCTGCCCCTTCGGCCTCGTTTAAACAATTTTTTACCACCGTACAAATACCTCTTCCTAGAGTTATTTGTACTGTGTGTTTATCTTTTTTTTAGAATGGGACGAACTGTAAATAATTCTTAGGCTACTAGTTTTATATATACCTATATACAGAGTGACCCAGGCCTCCAAAAAAGCTTTTTACCTATTACGTT